AAGAAATTTTCCGACGTTTCCGTGTTGACATTGAGTTATATCAACACGGCTCTTAGCCAATCAGCGTTCAGAATTTACAAATGCTATATTATAAATTAATATCACAATTTGTTGTAAATTAAGACCGAGTCCAGGCTAAATACATATTAGACCATATTATAAGTAAGCATTTCCAAGGGCAATTAAAAACTTGAACCTTGATAAAAATCCCTCTCAAAAAATAAGCAAAGTGCTTTTCAATGCTTCGAAACGAGTTTAATATACGCACACGGGTTTGTGCTGAGTCTGCTGACCCTTTGTAGTTTAATAGTTTACATGAATTTCTGTAAAATATTTAAATTTAAAAGAAAACGCCAACGGGAAGTAAATTTGCAGCACGTGGAAGCACAATCTTAAAAATGCCTATTGACACCATTGAACTAGGCATAGCCTCCCCCCGGACATAGATTAAAGAATGAATAGATGGCTCACTCCTTTGATGTTTTTGACGCTGCCGACACGCGCGACTTCCGGCCGGCCGCCATTACTCTGGCAAGAACACCCCAGCAAGAACAATAGGAAAATGTATTGTGAAATTGACATCGCCGCTACTAAATCCTATTTTTTTCCGCTCTCGGGCATCCGAATGGAAGAAATCGATCAGAATTATGAAAAGGGAAGGTAAGAAAACAATTTTGATGTTTTTATTTGCCAAGAAAACATTTCTTTGACTTGAAATACTTATTTCTATTGTTTGGCCAGATGGGCTCGGACGAGTGCAGAGAATTTATATAACATGATTCGACGGTAAAATATATACCCAAAGTGTTTAAAGTTCTGCTTCAAAATTATTCTCTATTGTTTCCTTTTTAGTTTAAATTATTAAAATGGAAAACTGATTACTGGACAATATATTTTTATGGCTCTAAAATGCGTTTTACGAACTATGTATATTTCGCATGTCAAATTACTAGTATGCCACCAGATACATGTTCTACATTTTAATTTGAAAGCATTCCTGTTTTCCATAAACCATAACCAGTTCTATATATGTTTTACAATTGTGCGACTTTAATGTACTTTTTTTGTTCTTTCTCTTAGATGAAATCTATTTTTTGAGGAATGATACTTCAATATATATTTTGGAAACTCTGGCAGCACTTGAATGTGCGACATGGACATTTTAATTATGCTCTTCAGCAAAAAAGATCAACTATATGTGGATTTGGTATAAACAAAAAATGTTGAATAAACACTTCTTCCATATGCAAATCAAATATAAAGGGCTGATGTGGCAATATCAATCCTAGACTTGGATTAATTCTATATCAATCCTGAAGAAGTAAGCTCCTCAATCCTTAGTTACCATGGTTTCTTAAATAAAGAATCATAGACATTGAAACATTTCTGAAAGAGGTATTTGGTTACACATGCATAAACAAAGCAAGAACTTACTTTGCTCTTTGATAATCTGCTTTCCAAAATAACAATACTTTCGTGAAAGATTTGGTGATTGACCTTTATAAAACATGGCTTTATTGGACACTTGAACTTTCAAGAAAATGAAAAATGTTTGTGACCAGTTTTAAAACTTGGATCAACATTATCAAGGAGGATATTTTACTGTGTTTTAGATACAAATATACATTAAACTGGTGATATATTATTGTAAATGGTTTTGTTGAATCACAGTACTACCATATAAATATGGACTTCAGGAATTGTTATAGTTCTCTGTTTCAAACACTCACTTGTTATTTTATTTTGAAATATTTTTCTTATACAACTATGCAAATTTTATCATACAGTAATTCAACTTTCTTGAAAAAATATAATATATATTAAAAATAAGAGAGAAACTCACAACTCAGTGATACTCAGTTTGTCTCAATGTGTGAAGTCGTTTAACCTCTGACCTTTTTGTGCTACTTTCCTTTGACATTCAACTACTTATACTTTTTTTTGAATAGGTCTAATTGTCAGATTAGAACTACTTCAGACAACGTCTCTTTCTTTAATTTAAATGAATTTAGATATTAAAGATTTTATTTTAAACATATACAGTTGTTTTCAACATGTAAACAGTTTGTAATGAATTCTTGTAGACCCAAAGAGTGGGTTGTTGCATGTCGACCTCACAGTACAGGGAAACAACAGTAGGGCTACTTAGTTCCAGGTGTCTTACACGGCCAAAACCATTTATTCTGTAATACAATTTTATAGTGAACTGTGTGGTTTACTGGCTGCCAATATGTTAATTAAGTTGGCAGCCAGTAAATAATGTGGACACTTTTTGATGCTGAGTGGCACTGCTGTTGTTTCCCTATACTGTGTCGACGTGAAGACCTTTTGAATAAAACCCCCAAGATCAAGTATTTATACGCCACCTGCAAACTATGTTCTGAGCAAGATTCTATGTTCGTCAATCCGACTATTAAAAATTGTTTGAATGATAAGCCATAATATCCATTATGGTACAACAAAACGCTGTGGCATATGTAGCTGGATATATCTACTTAAGAAATGTTTCCATGTCCATGATTGTTCCTCGTGTAAAGAAACCATGACATCCAAGTATCTTGAATCTGATTCATTGTTGTACTGTCATTTCATGAACTACAGAAATGATACTAGCTCTTCAGCAGTTCAGGACTGATACTGCCAACACAGCCCTTCTTTGACTTTGTTCTGCACCTGGAAGACTGTCTGACATGCTTGTCCTGTCTATACCACATCCACATTTATAGTTGACTGGCATCTCCATCTAAGAGAAAGAGCAAAAAGTACATTAAAGTTGCACACTTGTAAAACATATATAGAACTGGTTATGGTTTATGGAAAACAGGAATGCTTTCAAATTAAAATGTAGAACATGTATCTGGTGGCATACTAGTAATTTGACATGCGAAATATACATAGTTCGTAAAACGCATTTTAGAGCCATAAAAATATATTGTCCAGTAATCAGTTTTCCATTTTAATAATTTAAACTAAAAAGGAAACAATAGAGAATAATTTTGAAGCAGAACTGTGAACACTTCGAGTATATATTTTACCATCGAATCATGTTATATAAATTCTCTGCACTCTTCGGAGCCCATCTGGCCAAACAATAGAAATAAGTATTTCAAGTCAAAGAAATGTTTTCTTGGCAAATAAAAACATCAAAATTGTTTTCATACCTTCCCTTTTCATAATTCTGATCGATTTCTTCCATTCGGATGCCCGAGAGCGGAAAAAATTAGGATTTAGTAGCGGCGATGTCAATTTCACAATACATTTTCCTATTGTTCTTGCTGGGGTGTTCTTGCCAGAGTAATGGCGGCCGGCCGGAAGTCGCGCGTGTCGGCAGCGTCAAGAACATCAAAGGAGTGAGCCATCTATTCATTCTTTAATCTATGCCCCGGAACCCTTATTAATCTCTATGCTGGAACCGTTATAAACCACATAATTTCCCGGAGTGGTAAGAGCTCGAGTGAAAAGGCAGAACTGTACTTAATTCGTTTTACTTTCGTAGAATCTATGTATTCCACTGATGTTTCGTTCTATTGTATTAATATTTATCGTTTTCCATTTGAATTGGTGTTTCGCTCTGAGCAAGGTATGTAAGCCGCCATTTTATATTGATAAATTATTTCAATAATATCAATTTTTATATTTTGAAGATCAAAAGTGACTGCGTGTTTATATACAATGGCGCTTTATGTTATTAAATACATTTGCTGGTCCTTGCTTTTTTAGTTTCCTCTACTACAGCATTGAATATGTATTAAATGTATATATAGTTCTAATAAGTCACTGCCTTTGGCTTCGGTATCAGTATGGTCTGATTATTAATTAAAAAATAACCGAAGGGCGAAGGCTGAAGCAGGTTTTATGCAGTAGTATTAATGGAAAGCACCACATGGCAGCCGAGCCTCAAGCCCCGTTTACACTACGCTTAATTTTTGGTGCGGCACGGATGACAATTGGTACCCGTACCACTTTTTTGGTTCTTGGACTACCCATTTAGCAAAGCCCTGTTTATACTACGCTCAATTTTTGGTACTGTACCACTTTTTGGTTCTTGGATATGGTAGTCCAAGAACCAAAAAAGTGGTACAGGTACCAATTTTATCCATGCCGTACCAAAAATTGAGCATAGTGTAAACAGGGCTTCAGACATGTCAGGGGACCAGATAGTGGGGATTTTTGAATTTTTTTCAAAACATGCCGGGGAATTGCAGGCAGACTAGACTGTCTGCAGCACCACAGTTGGCGGGGAATTAGACAGTGTTATAGCTGTGTGTCATGATGACGTACTAGAGATTATTGGCTGGGATTCAGCTGGAATTTGTCTCATAGAGGTGCATTAATATTGGAGGCCTAGATTTGAATACTATTATGTATAGTTAGGTAAGGTAAGGGGGGGGGGGGTAGGTTGCGAGAACAGACAAGAGCAGAACAATTGCTAATTTACGGAGAACTCTGCCAAGTTCAGATGATTAAAAATTTGGAGGTTATCTGACTAAGCACTATAAAGGCCATTATAAACAGAATTGGGGGATTAAGTATGATCATTATGCAACTCATTGCCATGCCCCCATCAAAAACATTGTATTTCTACATGGTCATTATCTAGAATATATGAATATCTGCCCCCCCCCCCAATTATCGAGCTTGCTACGGCACTGATCGCATCATATAAATCGCTGAGGAGGCGATGTTTCGAATTTCGAAGGAAAATGGAGCCAACGTCGTAGTACTAATTTGTGATGATTTCCATCAAGTAAAAGCTACAGTATGAATTATAAAGTGTTTAGAAGTATTTTATTGTTACAAATTATTTAGCAGATTCCCATTATTTGTTACACTGACTAGGTCTATGAAATATATATTTCGAAGGCTATTTAATATATTTTATACAGTTAAATATTGAGAAACACATGGCCAGACTATGGCCTATTATACTATACTCAGACTCTCAGTAAAGTTCTACTCTCACATGATTATGTGGGAAATTAATATTAATCCTAGCTTCTGAGTGAAGGTCTTGCCTACTTTATGCGAGAGCAGGCTCTATATGAGATTCCAATTGCTACACAGCATGATCTCAGGGCTCTTCCTCTGAAACAATGCTTGGTTGCGATATCCAGCAAGTGTACTACCACGTCAAGGATCATTTGGCATGTTCATCGACTATGTTAACCCATTGAGTGGCGGCATGCACTGTCCACTTGGCGAGTAAAATTGTCTGGCGTTTAGACAGAGTAAACTAACAAAGTACGTGCATTGCCACTTAAAGTGTTAAAAACGTAAATACCACAGCACAACACTTGTGCATATACAACAGCAATCCTTTTATATATTTAATGACTTCATATTTACATATTGGTGAAATATCAATGTCCTTATGTCCATATATTAGGGATGTCCATGAACTTGTCCCTAGTTTGAAGCTCAAGTATTCATATCTGTTGTATAAGTTGTCCCTCTACAAACCAACTTTTAGTCATTATACAAGAGTTGAATTTGCATTCATTTGCTTCGCAAGTTGCAACAAACTGAACAAAGTATTAAACCATAAACGGATAAACCTGTGCAAATGATCGAGCGTCTTGAGCGACATATCCAAGTCTTTTAAACGTCTCATACGAACAAATCTCACTGAGTTTTTTTCTACAGAAAGTATTGATCCATTTGATCGATCGCCGTACTTTGAGAAAAGCTTGAAATGCAAAATTCACAGGGAAGATTGAAGAATTTCGGAGATAAAAGCTGTTTTTGTCTTCGAGTTTCACCTCTAGCATTCACCCCCCGGTTGAGAAAAGTAACAATTACGTAATGTCGGAGTCACATGACCAGCGTTTACCAGGGCTACGCCGCCTTCAATTCGCGGCTAGCCCTGGGTACGAGGTTGCACTACACTAGGGTGTATCAAAATTATAAGTACCCAAACAATCTATATTTATTAAAAATTTCATGACAAATTGAGAGCCGTTTCAAAATTGTCTACTTTTTTTATGCACCCTGTAGAAAATAACAAGAGGTAAAGATTATACAGTATGCTCTTGGAACATATATTTGTTTCTTCCCATATTATTTAACTTATATCATATTTATTTCTGCTACTGCCCCTCAGGTAGGGGGTGTGGGGCTTTCCAAAGACTAGTGCATTATTTAAGAAATAGAAAACATTTTTCGTGTTTCTATAGTGTTATAGAAACACGCGTGAAAATTTGGGAGAAACGAGAAATTGCGTGGGAACACGAGCATGAAGTGCGAATGTTTCCACGCAATTTCGAGGTCCTCCCAAACTTTCACAAGTGTTTCTGTAAACTCTATATAGGAACACGGAAAAAATGTTTTCTATTTCCTTTATTAAACAGCCTTTTAAAAACAATAGAAAAGAAAAATTTATTGATTTTATCATAAATTGCTTTCATTAAAATATTAATTCCGCCTTAAAGTGGCAGTCAAGTCCGTAATGTAAACAAACGGTTTGTTTACATTTTGAACTGCTGTATTTTTTAAAACATGATGTACTGTCTGAATATCTAACACCATTTTGGTTCGCTATGCTTCTCAATGAATATGAAATCGAGTTTATGTTCAGAAAAATTCGAAACATTCGAAATTTGGGCAATGTTCACATTAGAGGGTCCTCACATTGTTATGAGCAGAACCGATGAGCAGAACGGACTTGACTTCCACTTTAATATACGTTCGTGTAAAGCATTATTATGAAAGCAAACCATAGCGAAGTAAATTAAACAAGTATATCACTGTCAAAACAACAGACAGCACTTCACAGGCTTACTTTACTAAGTATATAATTTACTCAACAACGTACATGCTTGCATGCAAAGAAAACACTGTTTTGAATAGTTAGTGAACAAACATAATTCAAAACGTCGCGAGGAAATATTTTAAAAGACAAAGTAAAATTAAAATATCTTACCTTGGTAAACAGTCAAACAGATACAATGTGTGCTATAATTATTATACTTTGTGCTTTAGGTCTTCGCGTTCTAAGTTAGCAAAGTGTTGCCTTTTTTTGTAACGGTTCTTCGGCGTTTCGGGACGTTTATAACTTTTTTCAAAATTAAATATTGTTTGTATTTTATTTTTTAAACTCCCGCGCAATCCACGCAGCCCACGTGAAAATTCTCCGTGTTTCTATCGAGTTATAGAAACACGGGTTTTTTGAGCTTTTGATCAATCAGTGCCCGTGTTTTTAAAAGGCTATTTTATAATGTTTAATGGAAACTCAGCACGATAGCTTGCTTTTCCTTCCTCATGATCTTGCATGGCCATGCAGATATTACAGCTTGTAAATCAGCAAATGGCATAAAGCTATTCAGTCATCATTATATAGTGCCACAGTTACATTCACTCACAATTTATCTACAGTTTCTGCAAGAGCTGTGCCTTTGCTGTATTATTATTGTACAATTTAGCTTCCTTTCCTTATTAACTGCTCATTTGAGCCCATTTATATAATGTCCAGCAATTCCCTTGACAAGTAAAATCATCTGGCATCAGTTAGACATGCCAAAATAACAAAGCATATAACTAGAGCTATATATGGCTAGAACCCATGGCTAAGACGCATGGCTTTTGTTGGTCAAACCAACTAAATTACTAAGTGTGGCAAGACTAGGGGCATGCATGGCAAATTTTGAGAGAGTTTTGGTAAAACTTGTGCAACATTGGGAAATTTGGCCAAACTGATTCTTCCCAGTCTGGGATGTGTAATAAGTAGGGCAACACCCTGAGGAACTGGAAGAGAGTATATAAAGACAAAGTATGTTGTGTCTACTATGTTCATATCATCTAACATTCAAATAACTGAGATTTTACTTAAACCTTTTTTGAACTTTTCTAGACAAAGTTATTTTGGTTTATTGTGTCATTTTCTTATATAGTCCTTGGCTAACTGATCATAAAGTTCATGGTTACATTTCATTTTCAGCAAGGTAGGCCAGTGTTTGTCTACAGTTTCTGCTGTGAGCGCTATGTATACTCTTTGCTGTTTGAATTGCCAACAGTATAGATCTTTTTTTAGCTTTGTGTATGACCTAATTTATTGAACCTATATATTAATACCTCTTAATAAATAAAATTATCTGGCATTTGACAGGGTAAAATAATTAACAACAGTGGGCACATTAATAATTAGTTCTTTGTATGTTTGCATGGCGATAAAACATATAATAGTTTTGTTTGTGGAAACACCACGTAAATTTATTACTGCAATGCTTTCGATCCGTAAGCCCGGATATTCATCAGTGCTAATATAATATGTGACTTGTTTAATTCACACACCCTTTTTATATATACAAAAGTGTTTTTATATACAAAAGTGAAAACAAATTGTTTCGAGCTCTTTGCACACATAAATGTAACAATGTAAATGAAT